GGCGGGTCAGCTGAAACTAAGAAGCAGAGTTTAAAAATTAGGAGTCTGCCATTTAAGACTGAGATGAGGAAGAATGTTTTTCTCTCAAGGGATTATTACTCTGTAGAATTCTCTTCCCCAGAGAGCAGAGAAAGTTGGATCCTCGAATATATTTCAGGCTGAGTTAGATAGATTTTTGTCAGATTAGGGAGTCAAAGGGTTACAAGGACATACAGAAGAGCACTGAAATCATAATTAAATCAGCCATGACCTTGGTAAATGGCAGAACAGACTTGAAGAGCTGAATAACTGTTGTCTTGCTCCTAACACTTGTGAAGAACTGCATTCATTACAGAAAACATAAATAGTAGATAGTGAGGACTGCAGATGCTGGACGTCAGAGTCGATAAAATGCGGAGTTGGAGAAGCGCAGCAGGTCAGACAACATCCAAGGAGCAGGAAAGTTGATGTTTCCAGTCAGGACGCTTAATTAGGACTAGAGAGGGGCAAGGGAGTGCAGAAATAAGTAGGGGGGGGGGGGGGGCTGAGGGAAGGTAGGTGGGATGGTGATAGGTGGATCCAGGTAGGCATTTGTAGAGATTTGTCAATGGGAAGTGTGGGGTGGATAGGTGAGAAGGAAGATGGACAGGTTGTGTCAGGTCAAGGAGGTGGGGATGAGAGGCAGGGCTGGACATGGGATGAGGCCAGGGATGGGGAGATTTTGAAGCTGATGAATTTTACGTTGAGGCCATTGGGCTGTAAGCTCCTGAGGTAGAATATAAGGTGTTGTTCCTCCAGTTTACATGTGGCGTCTTTGTGACAGGCCCAGGATGGATGTGTCACCAAGGGAGTGGGAGGGGGAGTTAAAACGGCTGGCAACCAGAAGGTGGTGTTGGTTGGAGTGTACAGAGCGCAAGTGCTCCGCGCATTGGTCACCGAGTCACCGCTTGGTCTCTCTGACGTGGAGGACACCACATCAGGAGCAACAGATGCAATAGACCAGGTTAGAAGATGTACAGGTGAACCCTGTTGGGTTTGGAATGGTTGTTTGGGGACTTGGATGGAGGTGAGAGGGGAGGTGTAGGGGCAGGTGTAGCACTTCCTGTGGTTGCAAGGAAAGGTGCGGGTGTGGTGGGGTTGGTGGGGAGTGTGCAGCAGATGAGGGAGTCACAGAGTGAATGGTCCCTACGGAAAGCAGATAGGGGTGGGGAAGGAAATATCTCTTTGGTAGTAGGTTCTGATTGCAGATGGTCAAAATGGCGGAGGATGATGCATTGAGTTTGGAGATTGGTGGGGTGGTATGTAAGGACAGGGGAACTCTTATCCTTATTGTTGTTGTGGGGAGGGTGTTTGAGGGCTAAACGGCGGATAATTCTGGAGATATGGTTGAGGGTATTATGAATCATGGGAGAGGGGAAGATACGGTCCTTGAAGTAGGAGGATATCTGTGATGTCTGGGACTGAAATATTTCATCCTGGGAGCAGATGCAGCAGATGTGGAGGAATGGGAGTGTGGGATCACATTTTTGCAAGACGGTGGGTGAGGTGTCATCAAGGTAGCTATGGGAGTCAGTGCTCAGTCAGTTGCCAGAGGTGGAGAGGTCCAGGAGAGGGGAGGGAGGTGTCGGAGATGGTCCAGGTGAATTTCAGGTCAGGGTGAAAGGTGTTGGTGAAATGGATGAACTGTTCAAGCTCCTCATGGGAGCATGAGGCAGTATCGATAGTCATTGATGTAGCAGAGGAAGAGGTGAGGGATGGTGCCAGTGTAACTGCAGAAGAGGGACTGTTCCACATATCCTACGAAGAGGCAGGCATAACTGCCTGCAATAGCCACCCCTTTAGTTTGTAGGAAGTGGGAGGAATTAAAGAAAAAGTTGAGGGCAAGGGCATGTTCTGTCAAGTGGATGAGTGATAGTGGGGGGAGGGGGAACTGGTTGGGCCTACAGGAAAGGGAGAAATGGAGGGCTTTCAAGCCCTCCTCACAGGTGTAGAGACTGAATGTCCATGGTGAAGATGACATGTTGGGAGCTGAGGAGCTGAAAGTCTTGGAGAAGGTGGAGGACAGGAGGTCGTGGGTAGTGTCCCAAATATAGGTGGGGAGTACCTGGATCGGAGGGGGGGGGGGGGGGGGGGGGGATGGGGTGTGTGTGTGTAAAAATGGAGTTGACGTAGGCGGAGATGTGTTCACTGGGCCAGGAGCAGGCAGAGACAATGGGTTGACTGGGGCAGACAGGTTTGTGGGTTTTGGGTAGGAGATGGAAATGGGTGGTGCAGGTTTGGGGAACGATTAGGTTGGAGGCTGTGATCTGGGAGACGACGGTTTGGAGATCGGGGTGGGGTCATGATCAAAGGGACAGTAGGAGGAGGTGTCAGAGAGTTGGTGTCTGGACTCAACGATGTAGAGATCTGTATGCCATACTTCCACTGCACCTCCCTTATCAGTGGGTTTAATGGTGAGGTTGGGGTTGGAGCGGAGTGCTGTGTGTTCTGCTGGGAAGTGGTTGGAGTAGGTGAGAGGGGTGGAGAGATTAAGGCGGTTAATGTCACGATGGTAGTTGGAGATGAAGAGGTTGAAAGAGGGTAGGAGGCCGTGGGGTGGTGTCCAGGAGGCAGGAGAGGGGTCTGCAGAGGGTGTGTTGGATTCCCATTTGAAGAAATAGGCGCAGAGGTGGAGACAGCGGAAAAAAAAGTTCCACATCTAGACATACGCAAAATTCGTTGATGTGTGGGCACGGGGGACTGAGTCCTCTACAAAGGACCGTCCGTTTATCTTCAGTAAGGGGGAGGTCTGGGGTGATGGTGAATACCCAGCAGGGCTTGGGGCTGGAGCGAGGAATGGGGGTAGAGAGTGTCTCTGGAGTGGGTGTGTGTATGGGAATGGTCATGTGGTTGGAAGCAGAAGTGGTGATGTGGTCGGTGAATCAGCGGAAGTCATAAACCGCCGTCATTCAGTATTGAAATTTAAACTTTGCATGCTGGGAGCACCATCAATCTCATGAGATTAAGAAATATGTCCCATCATTGGTAGATTTTATTTCAGCTTTTTGTTATTAAGATTGAACCACAATCTACATAACTACAGTCGATCATCCCAGCAGGGCACCAACTGCTTCAGGTATGTAATTTTAAAAGTCTTTATTGACTTTAAATGTTAAATGTTATAAAAAATGCAAGACACCAGTAGCAACCAAAATGATTGAATTGTAGCACACTAAATCTCACTACATTTCAGATCTCAACATTTCTGGTTAGCTCATAGTTACTAAAATCTGCAATAACTCTCTTGTACTTTAGATAGATAGAGAAAAATAATTGGTCTGGGATCATAAGCAAAACTGAAAATCCAATGAATTGCTACATGTTTTGTAGTTCGTGAATTAAAAACTATCACGTAGCTAAGTTGAGATATTATAAAGGAAATGGATAGATTTTGAATTTATTTAACTTGTTGTTCTGGGCAGGGATAGGAGGAAAGCAATGCTCACAAACTCTGCACGAGTGCTAAATTTTAGGAGCAAGTGGACTGAATGGCTCCTGTTCGTTAACATATTGATTTTCTAATCCCTTGGTGCACTATGTCTGATAGTGCATTGCACCTCTCGGGCTGCATGCCTAAAAAGCACATTGTCAGTACCAAGTGTTTTGAAATTGTGTTGAGGCACCTCAGAGTGAAGCATGGATAAGAGTGGAATATGTTGTAAGTTTGCTTTTATTGCTATTACTGTAATTTTCAAGTCAATTTTTCCTAAATTTTATTTTACAAATTTTATGAATAAAATATATTTTTGCAAAGTACAGTAAAAGAATGGTGAAGGTGGAGTTAATGCAGAGAGTCTTTTTATAAATTGGATGTGTATGAAGAACACTGAGTCACCGTGTTAGCACTGCTGCCTCACAGCTCCAGGGACCCGGGTTCGATTCCAGCCTCGGGTGACTGTCTGTGTGGAATTTGCACATTCTCCCTATGTCTGCGTGGGTTTCCTCCAGGTACTCCGGTTTCCTCCCACAGTCCAAAGATGCGCAGGTTAGGTGGATTGGCCACGGTAAATTGTCCGTAGTGTCGAAGGTTGTATAAATTAGATGGATTAGACATGGGAACTGCTGGGTTACAGGGAATGGGTCTGGGTGGGATGCTCTTCGGAGGGGTGGTGTGGACTTGTTGGGACAAATGGTCTGTTTCCACACTGTAGGGATTCTATGATCTATGAACCTCAAATCACGGTCACTCACCAACTAGTAAATGTAATACAACTTAATCTTTGGAGTTTACACTGAATGATCATAAACTGAGTACGAAGCAAACATGAATCAGCAGTGAACTTTCACAATCCTTAGAAATAGATGAAAAAACAACTATTTTGCTACACAAATATTAAGAATATGGTAAGTGAATTAATGTTACTATTTAAAATACAGTTTTAGGATTAAGCACTTCTAGTTATCACACTGTAGATCAAAAAACAACCGAGACTGAGAAAATTCACTTTACATTGGATCTTTGCAGCTGTAGAAAATTTGAAGCCAGATTTACTTTTAATAAATCCTGTTGGGCCTAAACAGATAGCATTATTATGCTTTCCTGAACATCAGATTATATTGCCAGCTCTCCAGAAAGACACTGGGAAGTTGTGTGGTAAACAAGCTTGTCTACATTGAAGGAAATTCTAACTGCCACTTCAGCATTACCTCCCAATTATCCAAAGATTTGGTCAAACTAGTAAATACACTCTGCTGGCCCGATACTTGGAAATTTGACAATGGTGCTTTCTAGTAGCTGTTAGGCTCAACTGGTTGCAATTATTGCTTTGGCCATTGCTAAACTGATTGGATTAGAAAGATGAGGGACTCCACGTGGAGCCAAGGGATTTAAGAAAAATATCAAAAGAGACACAATGAGTATTGCAGTGTAATAATTTTAAACCATTGAAATAAGAAACAATGGCGATGCTGCTATGATGTATTAAGAGTTCAGGCTATAAACATGGTCTGAATAGTTAAGCTACATTCAATGCACAGGCTAATGTATTTCAAATACCCTGTTTTATTCCCCTTCTTGGTCCATTGAAATGTGATGATCTACATGGTCAAGAACTTGAAATGGAAGCAGGTCACAAATACTTTAAATATAAATAAGCAATAAAGTGTTCACTGCATCCATTCAGATACAGTACACAAATATGGTTAAAAAAAAATACATTTCACTCTCAGAATCCAGTTTTGATGTATTTAGTTTTTGTGATCACATACCAGATACGATGGCTTTGGTACACCGTAATGGTATCTACACATGATGTATCAGATATACAATGCTCCATATGACCAAATCTCCAATCTCATTCTTAGATTTAAAATACCTGCAGGCAAATGGATAACAGAGTTATACATAGTAAAAGTTCATTTCAATAGCTTTCTGGGAATTCAAGGGATTTGAAATCAATTGACAGGTTTTCATTTTACAGAATGTGCTCACTGTAAAAGTTTACAGCTTTGAGTTTAGTTTCATTTTAATGGTGCGAATGGTAATGTTTATGGAGACTGGTGCAAACGTCAGTGGCAAAGCAGGATTTGTAAGCATGTACCTTGCTACACCAACCCCAATTTATAGCATTTCACTTTATTCACGTTATGACATGAGGGCAGAGTAACAATTCTTGTGCTAAAGTCAAAATGTGTTCTCTCTCACTTCATCTGTGGGAGGCTATTTCTGTAATTGATTTTTCCATTCACCTAACAGAGCATGGTATATCCAATATGTCATCTTCAGACGCTACAGGTCCCCATTGTCCTGTCAATAGAGGAGTGTTACTCCTTTTAGTTTTCAAGCATGAAGTGGATGTAGATTATTGCTTTGAGAATGATCAATGCATAAATTATAGATAGAATTTCTAATACATCCTTGCAGCACAGATCAATGGTCAACCAAAGGATTTGGTTACATTTTGAAAGCTTTCCATTTTTAACGCAATCAAAAAGCACTAATCCTGAATACAGCGGCATAAGATGTTGGGTCAGGGTGGCTGAATCTAAATATTGAGGCACAGGCAATGAATATTATCACTATCGTCACTGATTTATTGTAGGGAACAGCAAGTGATTAACTCTTTTTGGTGACATACTACAGCTCATTAAAGTGTTTATTTCACAGACTTGGTGCTGGTTAAATGATGGTTAAAAATCTGCATGCAAAGAACACAAATATGACTACAAGTTTAAAGCTGTAAGGAGAATTAGGATACTACTGCACCTCAGCTACTAACTCACTCATACAAAGGAAAGTCAAACAATTATTTTATGTATGTGGAAGCAGATTAATGGCTGGAGACGTAACATCAGGATAAATTTAAATAAATTTCTACTGGAAAATTCCAAAAGAATTTTTTGTGGTGCAGTTTCAAAAATCACTTTTAGTGTGTTTACTCTCCAACTGCACACATCCTGTTGTTATCTGGGAGAAAAAAAAGCTAAAATTCATATTAAAAATATCACTGAAAGAGGGTGCACTGTGAGAGAGCTACGGATTGGTAGTGACTTCAACACAAATAAAACCTCATCATCTCTGATGTCGACAAGACACTATGGGTTAATTAGCTCTTATTTCTGTGCCAGTCAGGACCAGTGTGACAATAGCAGCACATTGCTTTTCAAACTTGCAGATTGTGTATTGTACAGTTCCTGTGTGATTGCAAAGGACGTACTTACAGTTTGAACTATCATTTGTATGAAAGCAAGTATTCTTCTTTAAATACCAACGCAATTGTCCGTTTAAAAATTATTTTCCAAAAGCAAAATTAACTTGCCAAGATAGCAACAACCTGTTTACGTGCACAACATAACTTAAATATTCACCAAGTGTTTGCATCTGGCAGAATTCCACAGCATGCCTGACTTTCTAGATCTGGATTAGTATTTAACTGGGATACATTGCAATAGAACTACGTAGATAAATATCAACAACCAAGTCTTTCCATTGTGCAGTGTGAAAGTGTGTGGAAAACTTTCTAACCACATGATTTATCAACAGAGGTGAAAATTTTGGGATGGCTACACCAGATAGCTGCTGTTACAGAACACAGACTTTTGAATAGGTACAATTGTAAATCTGGAAATACATGCTTGACCCTCAAGACTGAACAAATGTAAAAATTATAGGGGAAAGGTAAAGAGCCTGCTACAAATTCAAGTCCGGGGGCTGTCCTGAATTGCATCACTTTCGCTGCATTGGTAAGCTTCAAGATCCAAATAATCTGGAAACCAACAACAAATGAAAAAAAATCAGCCGCATGTTTTGACAAAACTGACTTTTAACACAATGACTTTATAAGAATGATCTTAGATAACTCAAGATGTTCCAGCAAACATGAATTAATGCATCTTCAAGGGCAAAGCATTTCATAACATCAGGATGTTTCAAAGCACATCACAGCATGGATAGCTTTACAGGTTGTTGGTCTGATTTGGTCCCAGGTGTTCATTACACCCCACTTTCCTGGAATCTCTTCACAGTTCATTTGACCCCTGACTGAGCTTTGGTGCTAGACAAGTCTTTCTAGATGAGTTGCCTGCGTTGGAGCAGCTGGTCTCTGTTTTATGTCTCATCGTTGTTGGGATTGGAGACTGAACACATGTGGTGTCAAGGTACCAAACACAGGCTGAGGGGTTAACTGGGCCATAGCAACAACTCATGTCCATCCTGGGCCTCCTGCAGTGCCACAACAATGCCATCTGAAGGTTGCAGGAACAGCAACTCATATTCTGCTTGGGAACCCTGCAGCCCAATGGTATCAATGTGGATTTCACAAGCTTCAAAATCTCCCCTCCCCTTACCGCATCCCAAAACCAGCCCAGCTCGTCCCCGCCTCCCTAACCTGTTCTTCCTCCCACCTATCCCCTCCTCCCACCCCCATTTCCTACTGACTAACCTCATCCCGCCCCCTTGACCTGTCCATGCTCCCTGGACTGACCTATCTCCTCCCCACCTACACTCACCTTTACTGGCTCCATCCCCGCCTCTTTGACCTATCTGTTTCCTCTCCACCTATCTTCTCCTCTATCCATCTTCTATCCGCCTCCCCCTCTCTCCCTATTTATTTCAGAACCCCCTTCTCCTCCCCCATTTCTGATGAAGGGTCTAGGCCCGAAACGTCAGCCTTCCTGCTCCTATGATGCTGCTTGGCCTGCTGTGTTCATCCAGCTCTGCACCTTGTTGTCTCAGATTTTCCAGCATCTGCAGTTCCTACTATCTCTGATACAATTTTAACCCCACTGCGAAGCCTCTTCTAAGGATGCCTACCCTGAAGAAGTTACCCTCCTCCCTCCGGACAAGCCTCAGGGGATCTCTTCCACTGCAACTCTCTTGTAATCTCTTCGGCCTTGAAACTGCTCGACCATGTCCTGAAGCAAACCAGGTACTACAGCCACATCACCTTCCTCAGTACCTGCCTACGGAACCAGATCATCCCCAATGGACTACAGTCCACATTCAGGCCTTCCCAGTTTGGCCCCAACCGTGACAATGTCTACATTCATAGCATTGAGATCCTTCAGAAGCGTTTCTCCCTGCGACTCCTGAAACACACACTCGCAGCAATGCGCCAGCATCTCCTGGCACTACAATCAAGCCTCCCCCAGCTCAGAGCTTCCCTCTCCCAGACCTGCAAAGGACCTCTCCTGTTTTTTATTCTTCGTAGGATCCACAACCTGAACTCACAATTCTACTCAGCTTTATTGGACACAAAAAACCGTAAGTACAGTAAACTTACTGGTGCCTACCACCCAAAAAGGGCTTCCTCCACCTCCCAAATCCCCAGCCGTACCCAGGACCTTCCCCACAATGTGCCCGCCGCCATTGGCCATGAGGCCACTGTCGGAGAACCCACAGATGATGTCACATCCACCACTGCCGGGTACCCCACTTCCGGGACAGCGAACGCCATCGCTGCTGATGCCACCGCCTCCATTTCCAAGGCCAACATCACAGACACTGAAGACGCACCTACCGTCACCACTGCTGCCACCGCCTACCCTGCTCCGCCCATCACCGATGCGGACGCAACTCCACCCACCGCCGACGCAACTCTGCCCACCGCCTCCACAGCCAGCAGCTCCAGAGGAGACAGCCAACACCCAGCCCTGCTGAGTCTTCACCATCCCCCCAGACCTCCCCCTTACTGAGGACGAACGGTCAGTCCTCAGTAAAGGGCTCACCTTTGTCCCCCTCCACCCACACATCAACGAATACCGCTCACATTTGGACATAGAGCAGTTTTTCCACTGCCTCTGCCTCCGCGCTTACTTCTTCAACCGTGAACCTAACCCTCCCTCTACTGACCCCTTCTCCCGCCTCCAACACACCCCAAGGCCTCCTACCCTCCCTCGACCTCTTCATCTCCAACTGCCGCCGAGACATCAATCGCCTCAACCTCTCCACCCCTCTCACCCACTCCAGCCTCTCCCCCGCAGAACGTGCAGCCCTCCGCTCCAATCCCAACCTCACCATAAAGCCCGCGAACAAGGGAGGCGCAGTTGAAGTATGACGCACTGACCTCTACATCGCCGAGGCCAGACGCCAACTGTCCGACACCTCCTCCTACCGCCCCCTTGATCATGACCCCACCCCCAAGCACCAAACCATCCACAACCTCATCATCTCAGGTGACCTCCCACCCACGGACTCCAACCTCATCGTTCCCCAACCCCGCACCACCCGCTTCTATCTCCTTCCCAAAATCCACAAACCTGACTGCCCTGGTCAACCCATTGTCTCTGCCGGCTCCTGCCCCACCGAACTTATCTCCACCTATCTCGACTCCATTTTCTCCCTCTTGATCCAGGAACTCCCTAGCTACGTCTGTGACACCACCCACGCTCTCCACCTCCTCCAGAATTTCCAGTTCCCCGGACCCCAACACCTCATCTTTACCATGGACGTCCAGTCCCTCTACACCTGCATTCCCCATACAGATGGCCTTAAGGCCCTCCGCTTCTTCCTGTCCCGCAGGCCCGACCAGTCCCCCGCCACTGACACCCTCATCCGCTTAGCCGAACTCGTCCTCACCCTCAACAACTTCTCTTTCAATTCCTCCCACTTCCTACAGACAAAGAGGGTGGCCATGGGTACCCGCATGGGCCCAAGCTATGCCTGCCTCTTTGTAGGTTACGTGGAACAATCCCTCTTCCATACCTACACTGGCCCTAAACCCCACCTCTTCCTCCGCTACATTGATGACTGTATCGGCGCCGCCTCAGGCTCCCACGAGGAGCTCGAACAGTTCATCCACTTCACCAACACCTTCCACCCCAACCTTAAGTTCACCTGGACCATCTCTAACACCTCTCTCACCTTCCTGGACCTCTCTGTCTCCATCTCGGGCAACCACCTAGAAACCGATATCCATTTCAAGCCCACCGACTCCCACAGCTACCTCGCATACACCTCCTCCCACCCACCTTCCTGCAAAAATGCCAACCCCTATTCCCAATTCCTTCGCCTCCACCGCATCTGCTCCCAGGATGAGGCATTCCACTCCCGTACATCTCAGATATCCTCGTTTTTCAAGGACCGCAACTTCACCCCCTCAGTGGTTGAGAACGCCTTCGACCGTATCTCCCGCATTTCCCGCAACTCATCCCTCACACCCGGTCCCCGCAATAACAACCAAAAAAGAATCCCCCTCATCCTCACGTACCACCCCACCAACCTCCGGATCCAACGCATCATCCTCCGACACTTCTGCCATCTGCAATCCGACCCCACCACCAAAGACATCTTTCCCTCCCCACCCTTATCTGCTTTCCGGAGGAAGCACTCTCTCCATGACTCCCTTGTCCATTCCACACTCCCCTCCAGCCCCACCACACCCAGCACTTTTCCCTGCAACCACAGGAAGTGCTATACCTGCCCCCACACCTCCTCCCTCACCCCCATCCCAGGCCCCAAGAAGACTTTCCACATCAAGCAGATGTTCACCTGCACATCTGCTAATGTGGTATACTGCATCCGCTGTACCCGTTGTGGCCTCCGCTACATCGGGGAAACCAAGCGGAGGCTTGGGGACCGCTTTGTGGAACACCTACGCGCGGTTCGCAATAAACAACTGCACCTCCCGGTCGCGAACCATTTCAACTCCCCCTCCCATTCCTCAGACGACATGTCCATCCTGGGCCTCCTGCAGTGCCACAACGATGCCACCCGAAGGTTGCAGGAACAGAAACTCGTATTCCGCTTGGGAACCCTGCAGCCCAATGGTATCAATGTGGATTTCACAAGCTTCAAAATCTCCCCTCCCCCTACCGCATCCCAAAACCAGCTCAGCTCGTCCCCGCCTCCCTAACCTGTTCTTCCTCCCACCTATCCCCTCCTCCCACCTCAAGCCACACCCCATTTCCTACCTACTAACCTCATCCCGCCCCCTTGACCTGTCCGTCCTCCCTGGACTGACCTATCTCCTCCCTACCTCCCCACCTACACTCACCTTTACTGGCTCCATCCCTGCGTCTTTGACCTGTCTGTTTCCTCTCCACCTATCTTCTCCTCTATCCATCTTCTATCCGCCTCCCCCTCTCTCCCTATTTATTTCAGAACCCCCTTCCCCTCCCCCATTTCTGATGAAGGATCTAGGCCCGAAACGTCAGCCTTACTGCTCCTATGATGCTGCTTGGCCTGCTGTGTTCATCCAGCTCTGCACCTTGTTGTCTCACATTTATATTGAGTCTTTAATAAAGCAACTGATGAACTGCATAGGCAAATTATCAAAGAGAATTTGACACCAGGTAACAGAAGGGAGTATTCGGCCAGATAACAAAGCTTGGTCAAAGAGGTAGTTTTAAAATGGTTTAATGTAGGAAAGAGGCACTATCACCATGCTAAATGGGACAGACTTCAAACAGATCTAGCAGCTCAAATCTGGGCATCCATGAGCACTGTGGGCCATTAGCAGCAGTAAGGTTGAATTAAACAACAATCTACAAGCCTTGTATATCCCCCACTCTACCATTATCAAACTGGCAGCTCAACCCTGGTTCAATTAAGAGTCCAGGAGGGAATGCCAGGTGTAGCACCAAGCATACGTAAAGAAAAGGCATCAACCAGGTGAAGCAACAACACAGGGCTACCTGCATGCCAAGCAGAGAAAAAGCGCTTTCAATAGTTAAGATCACATGACCTCAATCAATGGAAAGATCCAAGATCTGAAGTCCTGCCATATCTAGTTGTGAGTAGTGGTGAACAATTAAAGAACTCAGTGGAGGAGGAGGCTCCACAGACATGCCCATCCTCTCACCAGACAAAATTCATGGCCCAACTAACTTCAACTGCTTCATCACTGATCTTTCTTCTGCCATAAGGTCAGAATGGGGGATGTTCACTGATGATTACACAATGTTCAGCACCATTTGAGACACCTTAAATACCAATGCATGGTGTCCATTTGCAGCAAGATCTGGAGAACATCCAGGTTTGGACTGGTAAGTGGCAAGTAACATTACATCAAGTAAGTGCCAAGCAATGACCATCTCCACCAAGAGACGGGCTAATCAGCACCCCTTGACATTCAATGGAATCACCATCACCGAATCCCCAACTAACAACATGCTGGGGGTTATCAGTGACAAGATACTCAACTTTGAATAGCCATAAAATACTGTGCCTACAATAGCAGTCAGAGGTTAGCAATACTTCATCTCCTGTCTTCCCAAAGACTCTCCACCATCCACAAAGGACCAGTCAGGAGTGGGATGGAATACTCCCCACTTGCCTGGACAGGTGTAGCTCCAACAACACTCAAGAAGCTCAACACCATCCAGGACAAAGCAACCTGCTTGACTGACACCCTAGCCACCATCTTCAATGTTCACTTACTCCATCACCAACACACAGTGGGTGCAGTGTGTACCATCTACAAGGTGCATTGCAGCATCTCACCAAGGCGCTCTCGACAACATCTTCTAAACTCACAACATCTACCATCTAGAAGGACGAGGGCAGCAGATACATGGGAACACCACTACCTGCAGGTTCCCCTCCAAGCCACTTACCATCCTGACTTGGAAAGATATTGCTACTCCTTCAGTTTCACTGGATCAAAATCCTGGAACTCCATCTCCAAACAGCACTGTAGGGGTCCCTACATTCCAATGACTGCCACAGTTCAAAAGGCAGCTCACCAATACCTTCTCCAGGACAACTATGGCAATACAGCAATAAATGCCAGCAATACTCCCATTGACTAGCTTTCTAGCCGCTTACAGGGAACATTGCTACACAGAGGAACCCATACCCAATGAGTTTAAAAAATGGCAATGAGAGATGAAGGGGTCTAAAGAGGGAATTCTGCAGCTTAGGGCCTTGGCAGCTGAAGACAAAGCCACCACCAGAGGAGAAAGAGACTGGGCAAGGTGCCTCTCCAGCTGCAGAAATGAGGAACCCAGCCTTTCCCATTATATACAGGAGAACCAAACTCAGTAACAACATAACAGAGGCACCAAAGCTGTCTAGTGCAAACTGTACTGATTTGAAGATATTTTAACACTCAAGTACAACCGATAATATGGTGTCGGTTGCTTCACATCGGTGTTTAATGCTGATTCCAGAGAGACTGAAACAGAGCTCTCTGAAGCAACTTAGTCATTCTTAAATTGTCTTTTATTAAAAAAAAAGAAACTTCCAATGAGGAAAATGGCAGTCTCTGCACTTACACAATCATACAGAACATCATGAAGATATTCCACAAGGCAATGAAGATCCGAAAGTAGCGCAGACTCAGCAAGAAATCTTTGATGTTATCACCTGAGAAAGAAGCAAAAATCCTGCGTTTAGATAGTGCCTTTAATGGTCTCAGTACATTCTATATACGTCAACGAGTACAAGCCCAAACTACTCACCTCTCTGCACAAGACAGTCCCTCCATACGGAGGATCAGACTAATGAACTTTCTCTAAAAGATTGCCTCAAATGTCAGAATATCTTTCTTGAGGTAAGGGGACTAAACTGTTCACAATATTCCAGCAGTAGTTTGACTAGTGCTGTCTATAGTTTGAGAAAAATTCCCCTATTTTTATACTCCATTTGCTTTGAAACAAGGTTAACATTCCACTTGCCTTCCCCATTACCTGAACTTGTATGGTAGCTTTTTGTGATTCATGGACGAGGAATCCCAAATATTCTTTTTTAATTCATTTGTGGGATGTGAGCGTTGCTGGCTGGCTAGAATTTATTGCTTGTCCCTAATCACCCTCGAGTAGGTGGTGGTGAGCTGCAGTCCTTGTACTGTATTTATAAGTCAGGATGGTGAATGGCTTGAAGGGGAACTTGCTGGTGGTGGTGTTCCCGGGTATCTGCTGCCCTTGTCCTTCTAGATGGAAGTGATTGTGGATTTGGAAGGTGCTGTCCGAGGATCTCTGGTGAATTTTTGCAGTGCATCTTGTAGCTAGTAACAGCAGCATGTACTGAGTGTCAGTGATGGAGAAAATGGATGTTTGTGGATGTGGTGCCACATCCCTCTCTGCTGTAGCTTTTTGCAGTCTTTCTCCATTTATACAGCTCCACTATTTTTTCTGTCAAAGTACACAACCTCATGTTGAATATTATATTTTATCTGCCAAGTTTCTGCCTACCTATTTATATGCTTCTAACTCTTTCATCCTCACTTGCCTTCTCACCGAGGCTATAGCACATTTACTTTCCCCATCTAAGTCATTAATATAAGTTGTAAATAATTGAGGCCCCAGCACTGATCCCTGTGGTGCTCCACTAGTTACAGATTATCATCCTGAAAACGCAACCCTTTATCCGAACTCTGTCTTCTACAACTGATCCAATCCTCTACCTGTGCTAGTATACTACCCTAACAACATAAACTCTTCTCTTATCAAGTAGCCTAATGTTGGTAACTTATCAGATGTCTTCTGAAAATCCAAATTCTGTACATTATATCTACTTTTTCCCCTTTATCTATCCTGCTTGATAAAGAATTCTAGTAACTTTGTCAAGCACGATTTCCACTTCACCAAGCCATGCTGACTCTGCTGGATCATATTATGTATTTCTAAACACTCTGCTATTACATCCTTTATAATCGACTTGAATATATTCCCACTAACAGATGTTAAGCTAACTGGTCGAGAGTTACCTGTATTTTTTTCTCCTGTTTTTTTTAAATAAAGATGTTTCATTGGCCGTTTTTCAATCCTCTGGGAATTTAAGGATTCCTGGGAGGTTACTACCGTTACATTCACGATCACTGTTGTTACTTCCTTTCATATCCTAGGACACAACCAACCAGGCGCAGGAGACCTACTGGTCTTTAGCCCCATTAGTTTCCCTCTGATATTTTCCTCTACATAATAATTGTATAATTATATATTATTGTAATTATTGTTTTTATTACCTCTCCTCTTGTCCTTTGAACATTTAGTAATTTTGAAATGATATTAGCATTTTCTACTGTAATTGGAACAGAGGCATTAAATAAAATCCCATCTGCTGCCTCAGGTGGACACAAAGAATTCCCCAACATTTTCTATGAGGCAGGGTATTTGCTCCAGTGTTCTGGCCCATTACTTATTTCAGAAACAATACTACCAAAGCAGACACACGTACATCATGCTTCTTTTTATGGAGTCTCTCGGAGCACAAATTTGGTTGTTTTGTTTCCGACAACACAATGGTTCAATGAGCACAGTTCAAAAAGCTACTTAATTGGGTGTCAAGACCTATAGGATGTGTTAGGGTCAAGAAAAGTGCTATTCAAACACAAGACTTTTTAAATGCAAAATGGTCAGGAGGTTTCCATCTCAATGATTGTGGCAGTGCGTCCCTGTCATAAGTGCTTTCATGTTAGTCAGAAACTATTGGGTTCCCTTCCTAATCAAGGGCGTTAAATATGTATTTTAAGATTTGCATCACTTCGGAATTCCACTCCATTATAGGGATGAGAATTGCCAACAAGTAACTGGGGTGGGCATCTGGACCCATCCTGGTGGGGAGTTAGAAGATAGCAGGGATCAAAAGGTAGAATCTGACACATCTACGCTATCCCTTCCAACCAGTATCCACCAGGGAAATTCTGGGAGCATTCTCAGGTAATTAGAACTGTGAAGTGAACTAGAACAAGAAAAACTTCCCTAATCAGCTAATGTGCGGGAAAGGAAAGGCGTGTATGGTCAAGACTATATACGAACAGAAAAAAAAACTGTGAAGAGGAGGAATCCAAAAGTGCAAAATAAACAAACGTTTGTAATACGTAGAGGTGGTGGGCCACTGAGGGAAACACAGAAAGGTGACTGGCAGGATTCTGAGGCAACACATTAAAAATAGAGGGGTTTAGTCAACAAGCACCAAACACAGATCATTGATAGCAAAGTGCAAAACACTGCCTCAATAAAACATAAGAACACAAGAGCTGTATTTAATTCCACTAAGACAAGTCCACCGGGGAGTTAACCATTGCCAGGTAAATTATCCCCTTCCCCGTCCTGTTCAATGAACAGCCAAGACAGCAGCAGCTGGAGCGCAGACTCTCCAGCAAGTCTCAGGAGGTGCTGGAGAAGGAAAGAAGCAGAGAGAAAGGAAGAGTCAGAGGTTCACAGAAATATTACATCAGAAAGAAGGATATGTGGATGGCTGTTCGACAGTAAATTTTAAACGTAATGGTGAAAAAATAAAAAGCAAAACAAAACAGGAATATCAAATTCAGATAAATTGAAGAAATCAGAAAAATATAAAAGTGACTTTTTTAAAAAAAAAGCAATCAATGAGAGTTTGGAGCAAAATGCACCTTAATTAATTACATAAGCCACGAAGATCTGATCCCTTGGGACCATGCTTCATCCTGGACTAGACGGCACGCTCTTCTTCAGTGAATAATTTCAGACATGACATGTGATTAAATGTCATCTGTTTGAGAGGAACAGGTGAGTGACATTTGCCCTGAGGATCACTTGGGGTTTCTCCTGGTGTAAGCAAATTGACTGGGTACCGACTGGGATACAATTCACAGCCATAAATGCCGACATCATAAAACCAGGAACACTGCAAACTGGGATCTTTACATCAGGTAAACCCTTCAAAAATACTCACATAGCAAAACTGCAGTTTTTTCAAAAATGGGGAGCACGCCGATTTAAGAAGCATTCACCCAGACTTTCTGCCTCTCAACTTATCCTCATTCTTCAGTTATGCTTTTTTTGATTTTTAATTAGACAATGCAACCCCAGAAGCTTGGGTCAACTACATCTTCTGAAGTCTGCTTTTTACAACTCAGTGGACATCAAACGCTGGCCAAAGCCACTGGAATTTCTGAATTTTTGCAAAACCACACAAGGTGCAGATGAGCAAGGGCTTCTGAAACATGGTCAGGGAATGCCCCCCGGTGGCTAGGCGTTGGAATGTGCACCACTTTGCATGCAACGTTACCTATTTGATTGTCACAGAGGCATTTCAAATCTCTTCATTCTCATTGAAGAATCTCATATTCCAAGTATTTATCATTCTTGCTATGGAATAGTTTCTGTGTTAGAGCTGTGAATCTTCAAACTCTGAATTTCGCTTTTTTCAAATGGCCCCATCAATTTTACACTCAGATCCTGTGCTATGAACTTTTGTTTACCCAACCAGATTTCCGCTCCACAAATGTACAAAATACTGTATCTGATACTGCTAAAAATCAAAAGAAACAACACACTCAACAGCTGATATTTAAACTAAACAATGTTGGGCAGTCACAAGTCAAACCTGAATGACTGCAATTCTCAAAATCTGTGTATCAGCAATATGGATACAAATGGCATGTGTGGGATAAGTGAATTCAGGAAGGGGGCAGAGAGATGGACTGAGTCCAGCAAGGGGAAGCATGATAGCCAGTGAGATAACCCATACCTCATCAATGACATAGAGGCGAGAGTTACAGATTTTAATTCCTCCATGGGATGTGGGTATCACTGGCAACGGCCCATCCCTAACTGTCCTTGCACCGAGTGGCTTCCTTGGGCATTTCAGAGGGCAGTTAACAGTCGACCACATTGCTGTGAATCCAAACTGGGTTAAGTTGGCAAATTTCCTTCCCTTAAAGGATGTAGTTTTGTGACAATCAATGATAGTTTTCATGGTAACCATTACTGAAAAGAGCTTTATAATTCCATATTTTATCAACTGAATATAAATTTCACCAGCTGTCATGGTGGGTTTTGGAACCTAATCCCCAACACACCAGCCTGCCCCCCTCAATAACTAGTACCATGGCATTACTGTGGCTGTGGTTGCCATGGTGTAATGGTGAGCACACTGGTTACTGAGCCCTGTGATTCGAGTTCAAGTCTAGGTGGAGCCTTCTTTATAGGGGCGGCACGGTGACTCAGTGGTTAGCACTGCAGCCTCGCAGCACCAGGCACCCGGGTTCAATTCCATCCTCGGGCAACTGTCTGTGTGGAGTTTGCACATTCTCCCCGTGTCTGCGTGGGTTTCCTCTGGGTGCTCCGGTTTCCTCCCACAGTCCAAAGATGTGCAGGCGAGGTGGATTGGCATGCTAAATTGCCTGTAGTATTCAGGGAGGTGTAGGTTAGGTGGGTTATAGGGGGGTGGGATGCTCTGAGGTTCAGTGTGGACTTATTGGGCCGAAGTGCCTGTTTCCACACTGTAGGGATTCTATGATTACTGTAGGGTCAGAATTAAATACATATTTTTACCCGCTGTCGTTTCACGTCCATCATCTCCAAAACCCTGCAGCTCTCTTCTCTTTCTGGAATACAAATTTTTAAAAAGTTATTCATAGTACAATCAAGTGAGATTAGTAATAAACAAAGCTATCTTAAAGAGAGCTTTAATATCTTCAAAGAGTATACAGGTATGAAGGAGACACTGGACACATTGCACTGCATCAGGCACAAGCCACAAAGGCATTAAGTAAATGGTGGAGCTGTTTGCGTCCTTTGTTCAGGAGAATCCAGAGCACATCTTGCTACGTAGGTGCCAATGTGTAGGGAGCAGCAGTGCTTTAGAAAGGCATTATTTTTTAAGAAGATGTGACAAACATAAAACATTAAAACATTAAGTCTACAGCCATACCATCATACTGCATGAAGATCTTGATAATCATAGAGAACATAGAAACAATTTGAAGATACATAGATTACAAGGAAAATCTGCCCCTCTCCAACTTCTATCCCTCCCTCTATCTCCTTCTCTATGTTACTCTCCATTTATTATCTCTGTCCCACTGACAACCCCTACCCCCTCACGTCAATTTGCTCTCTTCCATCTATACAGAGGTGGTCCATCTTTCCACTGGTGTTCTACAGAGAAAAACCTAAAGTGCTTTTTTAACAGAGACTCTTACCAGCAGACAAACTGCATAAATCTTTACTTATAGTCGCATGTACCTTCTTATCAAATGTAGTGTGGACTAGGCTGGAAAAATATTTTACCAACATATTTTACCCTGAACTTGACACATATCTTATTACTAGAATCCGAGTACGGATATAGATGATATATAGAATATGATCAGAGCACGGCCCTGAAAACAGATGGCAAATATAAACAGAGTACTTGTGAATCTTCTGTGGCAATGCTCATGATGGACTGAAACCCTCAGGTTTTGCCAATTAAAACATGGCCTGTCTCACTCTTACTCAAGTATTCCATGAGGATACAGTCAAAATAGCATCTCCCACCAACAGACTGCCTGGAAATCTTGGCTCAGCATCAAGACGGTTCATTATTCTTCATTTTTGTTTTAAACCTGGTGACAGAACCCAAGGAACTTCACCAGAGCAACATTATCATCAAAGAAGACAGGACACTGAGTCAGATGCGATCGCAGGACAGGTGACCATTGATGAGTTGAAGAGATGAGCTTTGAGCAGTGTTTAAGATTGTAAGGAATACGAGTAAGCCATTCAGCACTCAACCCTGTTCTGCCATTCAACAGGATCAAGGCTGATCTGATTGTGGCTATAACTCCACTTTCCTGCCTAAACCCCACACCAAACACCACATTCCCCACCCTCATCGTGAACCCGACAAAAAATAAAAGAGGTGCAGAAGTTTCAACAGATAATTCCAGAGCTTGCAGACCAGGCAGCTGGAACGAGGGCATCAGTTTTGGAGCATGAGAAACAGGGCCTGCAGGAAAGGCCAGAACTTGCAAAACACACAGATTGGAGAACGTTGGAGAACATTAGAACATAGAACAGTACAGGCCCTTCGGCCCACAATGTTATGCCGAACTTTTACCCTAAACCTAAGGTCTATCTAACCTCCTTATACTCCCTACCTTATACTATCATCCATATGCCTATCTAATAGCTGCTTAAATGCCCCTAAGGAGGCCGACTTCACTACCCTCTCCGGCAATGCATTCCACGCCCCGACCACTCTGAGTAAAGAACCTACCTCTGACGTCTCCCCTATATCTACCTCCACTCACTTTAAAACTATGCCCCCTCATAATAGCTACCTCCACCCTAGGAAAAAGTCTCTGGCTGTCCAATCTATCTATACCTCTGATCATTTTGTACACTTCTATCAAGTCACCTCTCATCCTTCGTCGTTCTAAAGAGAAAAGCCCTAGTTCTCTCAACCTTTCTTCGTAAGACCTTCCCTCCATTCCAGGCAACATCCTGGTAACTCTCCTCTGCACCTTTTCCAACGCTTCCATATCTTTCCTGTAATGAGGCAACCAGAACTGGACACAGTACTCCAGATGTAGCCGAACCAGGCTTTTGTGCAGCTGGAGCATAATTTCATGGCTTTTGAACTCGATCCCTCTATTAATGAAAGCTAACACACCATACACCGCCTTGACAACTCTATCCACCTGGGTGGCAGCTTTCAGGGAATTATGGACATGAACCCTGAGATCCCGCTGCTCCTCCCCACTGCCAAGAATCTTTCTGTTAACCTGTATTCGGTTTTCAAGTTTGTCCTTCCAAAATGAATCACCTCACACTTTTCAGGGTTAAACTCCATCTGCCACTTCTCAGCCCAGCTCTGCATCCTATCAATGTCCCTTTGTAACCTAGAACAGCCCTCCACACTATCCACAACGTGACCCACCTTCGTATCGTCTGCCAACTTACTAATTCACCCTTCCACTCCTACATCCAAATCATTCACAAAAGTTACAAATAGAAGAGGGCCCACAACAGATCCTAGTGGTACACCACTCGTAACTGAGCACCATGTGGAATATTTTCCATCCACTACCACCCTTTGTCTTCTAAGGGTCAGCCAATTCTGAATCCAATCTGCCACATTTCCCCCTATCCCATGCCTCCTTACTTTCTGCAGGAGCCTACCATGGGGAACCATTTCAAACACCTTACTTAAATCCATGTATACCACATCCACTGCTCTCCCTTCATCCACGTGTTTGGTCACCTCTTCAAAGAATTCAATAAAGGTTTGTGAGGCATGATCTACCCCTCACAAATCCATGCTGACTATCACAAATCAAACTATGCCTATCCAAGTGATCATAAATTCTGTCTCTCAGATCCCTTTCCAATAATTTGCCCACCACTGAAGTAAAACTAACTGGCCTGTAATTTCCAGGGTTATCCCTGTTCCCTTTTTTGAACAAGGGAACAACGTTTGCCATGCTCCAATCTTCCGGCACTATACCCGTGGACAGCGAGGACGAAAAGATCATCACCAAAGGCCCTGCAATCTCTTCCCTCACTTCCCATAGAATCCTTGGATAAATCCCATCAGGCCCAGGGGATTTAACTACCTTCAAGTTCCTCAAAATTCCTAATACATCTTCCTTACTAACATCCATCTCTCTAGCCTATCAGCCTGTTTCACACTGTCCTCCCCTACAACTAGGTCCCTCTCAGTTGTGAATACCGAAGAAAATTGTTCAGTAAGGACCTCTCCTATCTCTTTAGGCTCAGTGCACAAATTCCCTTTACAATCCTTGATCGGCCCGACCCCTACTCTGGTCATTCTCTTATTCTTCACGTACGTGTAAAAAGCCTTGGAGTTTTCCTTGATCCTATCTGCCAAGGTTTTCTCATGTCCTCTTATAGCTCTCCCCTGGCTAACTTGTATCCCTCTAGAGCCTTTTCAGATCCTTGTTCTTCAACCTTACATAAGCATCCTTCTTCCTCTTAACTAGTCGTTCGACCTCTCTCAAGAACCAAGGCTCCCTCACTCGACCGCATCTTTCCTGCCTGCTAGGGACAAACATATCGAGCACACGCAGTATGCATTCCTTAAACAATCTCCACATTTCTATAGTGCTCTTCCCTGACAGCATCTGTTCCCATTTTATGTTACCCAGTTCTTGCCTAACAGAGTTATACTTACTCTTCCCCCAATTATAAACCTTACCCTGCTGTATGTACCTATCCTTTTCCATGACTATTGTAAAAGTAACAGAGTTATGATCGCTACCGCCAAAATGCTCTCCTACCAACAGGTCCAACACTTGGCCTGGTTCATTGCCAAGCACCAAATCCAAAGTAGCCTCTCCTCATGTTGGTCTATCTACATACTGTGTCAGGAATCCTTCCTGAATGCACTGGACAAAATCCACTCCATTTAAAATATTACAACTAAAATGTTTCCAATCAATATTTGGAAAGTTGAAGCCACCCATGACTACAACCCTGTGACATCTGCACCTTTCCAGTATCTGTCTCCCAATCCGCTCCTCCACTTCTCTGGAACTATTAGGGGGTCTGTAAAAAAACCCCAACAAAGTGACTGCTCCTTTCTTTTTCCTGACCTCAACCCAACTTGACTCTGTAGACATATCATTCTCAAACTGCCTTTCAGTAGCTGCCATAATAGCCCTGACTAGCAATGCCACTCCGCCGGCTCTTTTACCACCCTCCCTACTTTTTTTAAAGCATCTAAATCCCGGAACTTCCAACAACCATTTCTGTCCCTGAGTTACCCTAGTTTCTGTAATGGCCACAACATCGTAGTTTCAAGTACAGACCCATGCTCTAAGTTCATCTGCCTTATTTCTGATACTTCTAGCATTGAAGTATACATAAACCATCCCTGTGTCCACAATTACGTTCCATCGACCGCATTTCTTTATTAACAACCTCACTCCCTGTTGTATCTGTTGGAAGCCAAATACCTCATCCTCTGAATTACAAATCTGGTTCCCCACACCCTGCCAATCTAGTTTAAACTATCCCCTATAGCTCGAGCAAACCTCCCTCCCAGGATATTTGTGCCCTTCCAGTTCAGGTGCAACCCATCCTTACTGTACAGGTCCCACCTTCCCCAGAATGTGCTCCAATTATCCACATAATGGAAGCCCTCCCTCCTACACCAGCCCTGTAGCCACGTGTTTAGCTGCGCTCTCTCCCTATTTCTTACCTCGTTATCACGTGGCACTGGTAGTAATCCAGAGATAACTACCCTGTTTGTCCTGGACTTCAGCTTCCAACCTAACTCCCTGTACTCGTTTTTCACATTTTCAGTCCTTTTTGTAATGTCATTGGTACCGATGTGTATCATGACTGCTGGTTGCTCACCCTCCCCCTTAAGGATCTTGAAGACACGATCCGAGACGTCACAGACCCTGGCACCCGAGAGACAACATACCATCTGTTCGTCTCGTTCGCGTCCACAGAACCGCCTGTCTGTACCTCTTACTATCGAATCCCCCACTACAATTGCTCTCCTATTCTCCCCCCTTCCCTTCTGTGCCACAGGGCCAGGCTCAGTGCCAGAGACCTTTCCACTATGGCCTTCCCTTGGTAGGTCGTCCCCCTCCAACAGTATCCAAAACGGTATACTTATTATTGAGGGGAACGGCCACGGATCACTGCACTGTCTGCCTATTCCCTTTCCCCCTCCTGACAGTCACCCAGCTACCTTTTTTCTGTACCTTGGGTGTGACCACCTCCTTATAACTCCTCTCTATCACCCCCTCAGCCTCCTGAATGATACGGAGTTCATCCAGCTCCAGCTCCAGTTCCCTAACGCTGTTTGAGAGGAGCTGGAGTTGGGTGCACTTCTCGCAGGTGAAGTCAGAGGGGACACCAGCAGTGACCCTTCCCTCCCACATCCTGCAAGAGGAGCATGCAACTGCTCTTGCTTGCATTCCCACTACTCTAGGTTCCAGAAGAATAAAAAAGCCTTACCTTACCGACCCTGCACACGGTCTCTTTTTTTTGGTTAGTGGAGGAGGACGGGTGGGAGCCAATACACCTGTAGTGTTTTGGGTTTAGCCAATGCCCGAATATATTAGTTCACTTCTTGGCTCGCGTCCTCACCACACAGCCACCACTGAAAGCAAGAAGGCCGCTGCTGCACGAGGTAAGTTTTTATAAGGAAAAAGCTTACCTTCCCGACGGCACCCTGGTTCGCGTCCTCACCACACACCCGCTGCTGAAAGCAAGAAGCTAAAACATTACACCGAGTGGTGGAGTGGGGTGGGGTGGGGCAGTGCAGGGATTTAACCATAAGCTTGAAAATTTTAATAGCTTGTATTTATAGTACTTTTAACACAGTCAAATAATTCGAGGAGCTTCACAAAGTTAAACAAAATATGAAACTTGGTTAGGTGAAGAAGTATTAGGATAGGGAGCCCCAAGTTTGAGCAGAGAGGGACCTCAAAGGAGGAGATGGAGATAGAGGCACAAAGTAGCCAGACTGAGAGCCAATGTAGATCAGCCAGCACAGGGATGGTAGACGAATGGAAATTAGTGACAGCTAGGACACTGGCCAGGGTGGGGATGGAATGAGTTGGGGAGCAGGGAGCAGGGAGCAGGGAGCAGTGAGTGGCATGGTGGATTAGGAGGGGCCCTTGCGACTGTGAAGGTGAAGGGATTGGGAGGGGTTGGGGGTGGGGGGTGTGGCAGCCAGTTATTTTTTAAAAGAAGTGTTTTTGCACACACACAATTTGTCTCCCTTTAGGTGGAAGAATTCTTGGGCTAATGACTAGCCCATCATACTGTGCCATGAATGCTCCCTGTGCCCATAATGTCACTACATCTACTCTCACTGTACAGGAGACCTCCAACCTCATCTCTAAACATGACACCTACGTATTTTGCAGCCTGGTTCCATCTCCAGACAGATTTGCATACTCACAGTTTGAAGTTCAGCACGGCTCCTGCATTCATCAACAAGGTGCTGCAAAAGATTAAACAAAGTGAACACAAGACACAATAATTTTAGCTTTAATTTACCGGTCTTTACCATCTACCAATGCTGGTTGCCTTTTGCATTGATTATTTGCTGGGACACAACCAAGTGACTAAAAAATTCAGTTTTCTCATTGGAGAGGAGAACGTGATTAGTTCAGGATGTTTTACTATTGCAGTTAAGTTTTAAGAATTCTCCACAAACATTTAAAAATGTTGACTGTCTTTTGGTCTGATGCTAAGAGATTTCATTTTATTACACCATTGGTTCCCTAATACGTCTCCATTTTTTATGATTTCTACTGTGATGTTAGTTACAAATATTCATTTAGAGGGGGTTCCTGATTTGTAAACGTCCGACTTAGGAATGCTCGTACTTATGAATGCAATCCCACCTAGAGAAGCAATTTAAAGATCCAACATATGAACTGTACTTACTAACAGCTCCTTTATATTGTTTTTCATTGTGTACACAAGTCAGAAACATCGACTTGTGAACCAACCCCATTTGCAACCTGGGGACTGCCTGTAGCCCCTTGCCTCTATCTGCTGACACCTACAGCTTGTGAATGAGCTTTTATAAAAATGTTCTTATTGGTCATTACAAATTCTTCGGTCCCTGCCACTAAGAGACCCAAATCAAACTCATCTCTTCCTTAAGTAAATACCGACAGAAACTTTTAAAATGCCATTTTTGACTCATATTCTACCTTCATTTCATCATTAATTTCATGGTCACCCTTCAGTGAATTTTAAAACCCTCCTACTAATCAGGTTTATTATTCGTCTCATTTGCCATGGTTGGACAGTATGAGAGATTGTTATTTGTTAAGGGAATATATCGTTGTGAACGATAAATTAATTCCGTAAATGTTTATCATTGCCTATCTACTGCATTCATTTATTCAGGGCTAAAAGATACTTACAAAATAAAAATTTCAATGGGATATATTTTTTCATTAATAACTGAACAAAAATTTCCTGTAGGTGTCAATAGTGTCTGAAAAAGGTCCAAGATTTTATGACCAAGTATTTCTGAGATGTAGACAACGCTGTAATGCAGGAAAACCATGAGATAATCACCAGATTTTTTTTTGAGAGATTCAGCGTTACATCTCATCCAACGAACAGGACAGCACTCCTTCAATACCGTACTCGAGTGTCAGCCAAGGTTATACACTTAAATCTCGAATAAGACTTGAACTAATTTCTGACTCAGAGGAATAGTGCTACCCAGTTAGCCACAACTAACACTAGAGACACTGCTTCTTGTGGTGTCGTCTGTCATTATGGATTGTACAGGTAAAAATCACATTCAGCAGACAGCCGGATCATGCAAATCAAAAACTGTGTATTTGTTAAGTCTGCCGTCTCCTTTCAAAACTAGATAATTGGAATTCAGGGCTAAGAGTTTTTTAAAAAAATCATGTATGAAGATCTTTACATTTCTGGCATTTCAGATGAGATAAAAGAGAAGGGAAATTAAGGTGCATTGAGAGGTTGAACAGTTCAGACAGGGCATACTGGTCTGATTTGAGAGCTAAAGGCACCACACAATAACGGACACTGCAAGAAGCTGAGTCATTTTGTATTAGAAATTAAAACATTATTCATACATACCCTGGCATGGACTATTTGGAACAGTGCTGGAATGACTAAACCAAACTTCGTTTTTGAAAGGAAGTGTGAAATAAAACAACATCTGAAGCAATATTGCACAGTTCAAGGTGATTAATGAAAATAAACTTTTCTGTAGATGCATTTTAATATGAATACTTGGAAATTGAAAAGGCTATTTCTTATTTGCAAGGATATTAATGATGCAAATTTTGAAGCAATGAAGCAAGTTGGATTAGCAAGAAATTTTAGATATTTTCTAATCAACCTGTTCAGAGATGTTATTACACACCTCTGGACCAGGTCAAACTTGAACCCAGACCACCTGGTCCACAGATACAGACAATAGCACTGCACCTCACGACTCCCAGCAACACATTTATCAGATCTGCATGCATACTGATCAACCCGCTGCTGGCCCTCAAGTCAAACTGACTTCTGAGAAAAGTGCTCTGCATAAAAATCCAACAGATTCAAAAGCTTGTTTGGAAAACTAAAAAAACTATAGGTTAATTACACAATTCTTTCAGCAACAAGCCGAGGTCACAAAAGTTTTGAACTGGTGCGCCCCCAGGTTCCTTCTTCCCATCATTTCCCCC